TTTAACCCTACAGTTTATATTCTTAGTCATATCTCTCCTTCTCAAATTTATAACCTACAGTTAAATACTGGTGTTTCCTCAATTTATAAACTATTGTTCCTTCAAAGCTAGATGAAGCAGGTTGATAGTTTCTACCTATCAAATTGGCAGCTTATCTTCAGGAATCCAGCGAGCATTTCTTTTAGTACCTATTCCTAACTGGTTACAAATGACCTGTATACACCACAGACCCTATATATACCACAGCTTGATGTGTGATTTCAGTGTTAAGCACAAGGATGTCACGGGAAAGGTGAAGCACTACTTTCTCCTACTGCTCTCACTAAGTACGACTAAAAATCTGGGATATTATATACAAAGCAAACATAAGAAAGTTCTAGAAGGTGGAGAGAGAATGGACTGGCTAGGGACCTCAGAACCTGAGGAAGAACACAGCAGTGACGTTCTTGGGTTTTCTCGTTGCCTCATCTATCCCAGATTGGGTTCTAGAGAAGCTGACAACCCAGAAATGCCAACAGGCACAGACAAAAAAAAAAAGCCCCAAGAAAAATCTGCTTTTTCTAGCCAAAGGACTGGAAAGGGAGTAGCCTAGCAAGACAGAAAATGTTTAGAAAACCACAATCCTACTTAAAAGGCCACAGAAGCAAGCTATGGTCCTATCCCCACCAACAAAGGCCTATACTTCCACCCTCACCAGGCTGTAACAAGGCTCTCAGTCCTCCACCTTTAGCCTGGGGTGGTATCAGAGAAGACCAAGTGGGCAGATAGATTTCTAAAACCCACCCCTCCCCACACATCACCCTGGCAGTGTCCCCCCTACTCAGAGCCATCTCTCTTCTTTCTTACTGGTGTGGTCTCAGTGGAAGCCAAGTGGGGGGTCAAGACTTACACCAATTCCCAACAGTAATGATGTCACCCTCAACCCCACACCATGCTGTCAATCGAGACCATGTAAATAGCAGTAACAAGGCATTCCTGATCTTCCCTGGCCAGTGTGGTGTCAGCGGAGGCCTAGTGGGGAGCTGTAAATCCCACCCTTGCCCAGCAGTAGTGAGGACCCCTGCCCAGGAGTCATTAGAGGCCAATGGTGAACCTGGACTTCCAACACCAACTTAAAGTAAGGAGGCAGCACCCCCGCAACACTTTCTCCACCACAGCGGTATCCGAGGAGGCCTGTCAATACAGAAGACTTCAACAGGATACCAAGTCTCACACCAAAAGACTCCAAATGTCCAGACTTCAACTGAAAATCGCTCCTCACACCAAGAACCAAGAAAATCTCAACTTAAATGAGAAGATAACCCAAAGATGTCAATACTGAGATGACACAGATGTTAGGATAACCTGCAAGGATTTGAGAGCAGCCATCACAAAAATGCCTCAATGAGTAATTACAAACATGCTTAATGCAAACAAAATAAGCAAAGAAAGGCTCTCAGCAAGGAAACAAAGAATCATGTGCAACTAAAAAATACAATAACTGAAATAAAATTCAAGGATGGTCCCAATAACAGAATCAAATGGACAGAGGGAAGATCTAGTGAACTGGAAGACAGAACAACAGAAAATACTCAATCTGAAGAGAGAAAACTGTGATGAACTATGTCCCCCCACCCCAATTCATTATGTGGACACCCTAACCCTCAATGTGACTATATTTGGAGATAGGTTCCGAGGAAGTAATTAAGGTTAAAAGAGACCTTAAAGGTGGGATCCCAATCCAACTTCTCTCCACACCTATGCACTGAGAACAGGTCATGTGAGAACACAGTGAGAGTGCAACCATCTACAAGCCAGGAACTGAACGCGGTTGGACCCTGATTTTAGACTTCCAGCCTCCAGAACGTTGAGAAATAAATTTCTGTGGTTTGAGCTGCCCAGTCTATGGATGTTTGTTATGGCCGACCAAGCAGATTGAGATTCCAGTACCCAGAGGCGGATGCTGCTGTAACAGATGCCTCAAAATGTGGAGGCAGCTTTGGACAGGGTGATGGCTAGACCAAGAGTTTTGAGGTACATGCTAGAGATGCGGATATTAAAGGCCACTCTGGCAAGGCCTCAGATGGCAGTGAGGTACATATTATTAGAACTGGAAAAAAAAAATGGTGGCTCTTGTTATAAAGTGGCAAAGAACTTCTCTGAACTGTTCTAGTGTTTTCTGAAAGGCAGAACTTGAGAGTGATGAAACTGTTTATTTAGCAGATTTCTAAGCAAAGTACTGAAGGTGCAGCTTGGGTCCCCTTAGTGCTTGTAGTAAAATGTGAGAGGAGAGAGATTAAGTGAAGAAGGAACTGTTAAGAAACAAGGAAGCACAATTAAAGAAATGTGAAAATTCCATTCGTATCACAAAAATATGAGAAAATTTGCTATGAAGAAAACACTAAGCGTGTGGCTTAAAAACTATTTCAACCATTTGATAAATAGATCAAATGGGTTTCGCAGCCCCAGGAGAAGCCAGGAATATAAATGGGATTATAACGGCAGAAACACAGCCACCTGGCACTAAAGGGGACAGAAAAACAACAAAATAAAATGAAAGCAGGCTTTAGGACTTCTTAGATCCTACAGAACCAGAGAGCCATTTGTCTATGAGTATGTGTTATCCTTCAAGAAAAGAGAATGACCCTGAAAACAATTCAGAGACCATTGGGGATGTCTTCTGTTTCAAAGGGTGGAACCATCACCCTGGTTTCAACAGAACAGAAAGCCTCCAACTGAAGCCTTAGGGGCAGAATTGCCCTGCAGAGGCTTAGGCGAGGGGCTACCTGGCAGTACCAGAGACAGGACCTCTACCCCAGTGGGTCCGGGAGGCACTGAGCAAAAGAGGATTATTCTCACAAGATCTGACGAAACACAAGACCTAATGGAATTTGCCTTGCTAAGTTTTGGACTTGCTCAGGACACATCCCTCCTCCTACTTTCCTATTTCTCCCTCTGTGGAATGGGAATGCCTACATTATGTCCAGACCACAAATGTATTTTGGAAGCACATAACTTGTTTGGTTTCACAGGTTCACAGCTGGAGAGTCTGTGCCTCAGGATGAATTGTACCTTGAGTCTTACCCGTATCCCATTTAGGTGATATTTACTTGAAGGTCTGGACTTTAGAGCTAATGCTAGAATGAGTTAGGGCTTTTGGGGCTGTTGGAGTGGAATAAATGTATTCTGCACGCAAGGACATAAATTCGGTGAGGGGCTGGGGTGGAACGTTATGGACTAAATGTATCCCCTCTTCCCCAAAATTATGTTGAAGTGCTAATCCCCAATGTGAATTTATTTGGAGACAGCGTTTTCAGGGGTGTAATTAGGGTTAAATGAGGTAAGAAGGGCAGAGTCCTAATCTGCTAGAACTGGTGGACTGATAAGAAAAGGGAGCTATTTCTCTCTCCCTCTCCCAACTGGCCCATCTGCATGCACTACGGACATGAGAAGACACAGTGAGAAGGCAGCCATCTGTAAGCCAGGAAGAAAGCCCTCATTAGAGGCAGAGTCAGCAGGCACCTTGATCTTGGACTTCCCAGCCTTCAGAACTGTTAGAATTATGTATTTTTTTTGAGTCACCCGGTCAGTCTATGCTGTCTTGTTATGGCAGATTGAGCAGATTCAGACAAAAATCGTCAAGAAAAAATGAACAGAGCCTCAGGAACTCGTGAGATGACAACCAAAGAGCTCCTATTTCTTTCATTAGAGTCCCAGGAGAAAAGGAGTAGAAGGTGGGGGCTAAAATGTATTTAAAGAGATGAGGGCTGAAAATCTACCAAATTTGGCAAAAGACATAAACCTACACGTTGAAGAAGCTAAGCAAACCCAATAGGGTAAACTAAAAGAAATTCACACCAAGATACATCATAGTACAGCTTCCTAAAATTAAAAACTCTGCACTCAAAATAATGTGTCCAATAATCTTCAAAGTTTCAATGAAAAAAAAATATAAAAAGACGCCACCTGCCTCTACCCAAGAGTAAAATGGTAAAAGGTATTTCAAAGTCTTTTCAAGCTTTTCATAATCTAATATGCAGTGTCAGTGCAAATCTACAACTAAACTTTACTATAAGCTATAAAAAAATCTAAGGTACAAACTAGATACAACTGAGGTAAATCTTTATAAATAAGCACATTCTCAGGTAACTCAGATACCTTAAAACAGTTTGAACACATCAAAGGTCTCTTCTGTACTCAATTTTCTAAGCTGTGGCTCCTGACCCTTGGAAATTAACATGATTTAGTAGGCGATGTCTCAGTAAGCAAGGTCTAAAAGACAAAAAGTGCAGAAGCAAACACCCTGCATTACCCTGTAGCCAATAGTCCTTAGCTGCAGCCTAAAGCTACCCTCACAGAAACAGTCAGCCAATAGTCCTTAGCTGCAGGGTAAAGCTACCTTCACAGAAACTTTTCAACTGGACAACTATTAAGTCTAATATTTTTCACAGTTGTGAATATTCAGTTGAGTAGTTAACATAATGAACATTCTTTGGGTTCATTCCCCGAGCTCTTTTTTTCTATCCTTTCCCTCTACTTCCTTTGGCTCTTTAAACTTAAGAATGAAGGACAACTTCCCTTCCAACACCACTCCTGACTCTGGACAAACTCATTGTGAATTCTCAATCTCTTATTTCTACCCACGCAACTTCCCTAAAAGTATAACTTATCTCTTTAAAACTTATATTCTTAGTATTATGAAAATATCTAGCACAGTCAAGATGTCCCCTTTCCACCACAGCATACCCCATTTCTCTCCCAAGCATATGGTAATTTACACACACGTTAGGGTGTTACAAATAATTTCCCTCTTTCCTGAGGGAAATTCAGCGTCCTTTGCCAGAACACTTTTAAAAATGTAAAACTATACTTTCACAGTCTAATCATGCTACAACCCATATCAGCAGTGACTTCTCAATAACTTTTTTGCAACACCATCTTAAATTTCTTTGTAGACCCCCATGGCAAGCACGGTAAATGCTCAATAAGTATGCTCTGAATGTACCACATGTACATGGTCTTTAGCCAGTATGAATTCTCTTGTGTTGGCCAAAGGTTAAATGCTCACTAAAAGCTTGGGCATATTTCTTGGTTTTCACTCCAGCATGAGTTTTCTGATGTTGAGAGAGGGATGAGCTCTGGCTGAAGGCTTTTCCACATTCCTTACACTTGTAGGGCTTTTCTCCAGTGTGAGTTTTCTGATGCTTTGTAAGAGACGAGCTCTGGCTGAATGCTTTTCCACAATCTTTACATTTGTAAGGTTTCTCTCCAGTGTGTGTTCTCTGATGACGAATAAGGGCTGAGCGGTCACTGAAGGCTTTGGCACAATCGTTGCATTTATAGGGTTTCTCCCCAGTGTGAGTTCTCTGGTGCTGAGTCAGGGCTGAGCAGTAGCCAAAGGCTTTCCCACATTCGTTACACTCGTAAGGCCGCTCCCCAGTGTGAGTCCTCTGGTGCTGAATAAGACCTGACCGATCACTAAAGGCTTTGCCACATTCGTTACACTTATAGGGTTTCTCTCCAGTGTGAATGACCTGATGCTGGGTAAGGAATGTGCTTTGGCTGAAGGCCTTCCCACATTCGTTACACTCATAAGGTTTCTCTCCAGTATGAATTCGCTGATGTTGAGTGAGGTATGAACTCTGGTTAAAGGCCTTCCCGCATTCATTGCATTCATAGGGTTTTTCCCCAGTATGAATGATGTGATGCCGAATAAGGGCTGAGCGGTGACTGAAGGCTTTCCCACACTCATGGCATTCGTAGGGCTTCTCTCCAGTATGAATTCTCTGGTGCAGAGTAAGGTGTATGCTCTGGCTAAAGGCTTTCCCACACTCCTTACATTCATAGGGTTTTTCTCCGGTGTGAATTCTCTGATGTAAGACAAAAGCTGAGTAGTAACTGAAGGCTTTCTCACACTCACTGCATTTCCAAGGTTTCTTTCCTGCACAAATTCTCTCATGCCTAATTATTTCTGAATTTTGTTTTAAGTTATTTTTAAATGACTCACAATGATGTAGTCTCTCTCCCTGCTGCTGAACAAGTAAGGACCTCCGAGTGCAACTTCTTCTAAATTCATCAAATTGGTAACTTCTCTCCCTAGAAGATTTCTGAGTGACAGCGTCTTGTATTAAATGTTTCTCATGGTTTTCCTGCTGACTCTCTAAAGAATCCTCACGTTCACTAGAACCTTCCTTTGAAAATCTTACAATTAACACCCCAGGGGCCGATTCTTCTTCAGAAATACCCTTTTCTGGAGTGAGCTCCTTGCTTTCTGGTATTGTTTCCCAGTCTGAAATAAGCAAAAATACACACGTGTATCATTTCCTACCCTGGGAGAAAAATAACTGCTGGGGTAGGAAATTAATGAGACATGTTTGTTAAGAATATTTACAGGGAACACATGAACTTCAAAGCTCTCAAAAATAGTCTTGCAATCTTGGGAGAACACAAGAAAAAAAAGATGACTGGACAAAGAAGTACAGCTGCGTAAAAGGAGAGTGTGTACAGGTACTCAACGTTCCCCTATGCAGCAGGATAGGAAATAACGAAAAATAACAGAACGAGACTAACAAGAGGTGATGTGGAGAAATAGCAGATTTTTTAAAAAGGATTTAGAGGAGACAGGGCTAGGATCAGAGAAAGATGGTCTTCCAAAGACTCACTGTACCCATCTGACCAGAGCCTTATCATTTCATGCCTCGAGAATGACCATCTTTACCTAATCTCCTTGCCACCAATCCTTTCCTACTCCAGTATGTCCCAACCACTGCTAAAAGACTAACTGCTGAAAACCATCTCCCTTTCACAAAAATATGTTGCTTCTACTGTCTCAAGATGAGACACAAATTCTAGAAGCTAGCATTCAACATGGTCCAGGTCTACAAACTCAAATGAGCACAAAGCTTATTAACTGGAAAGCAATTAATCACCTCTGATTGCTTACCATCACCCTAGACCCAGCAAACTGGAAAGAGTAAAACAGAACCAAGAAGAAAGAAAAAAGAGAGAAAGGAACGAAAGAGAAAAACAGCAGTGTGTTGGGAGAGGAAGGTTTAAACTCCATGTGTTCAGATTAGTCCCCAACCTCTCAAGATACGTGCCCCAAGTTCCTGGGCTTCCTAGTAAGAATTTGAGGGGGAAAAGCTTCATTGCTAAAAATGTTTAAATCCTTGCAAGCTTAAACGATCTTTAATATCCATTCCAATCATGTCTCTACATGAAATAAATTAATACAATACAGTGTTCTCAACTAGATATACTCAGGGAAGTGCCTGGGATTTTAAAGGACAAATAGGTAGAAGAGGTTAAAGGCAAATGGACTTCCAGCTAAGGGGAGTGTAAAAATTAAAGCCCCAAATGTTCACGAAGAACACACGGTTAGTGGAGGACACTGAGGGACTTGCCTATCTGATGTTAAGAGTTCAAGCTGAAGAACAGAGAAGGCAAAAAAGTTAGGCAGGTAGACTAACAACGGCTTTGAAAGCAGGTAGAGGAATACAGAACTGGCAGAGGAAGCAACTCATTGGGGCATCTAGCAGTAGTATGCTGCCTCAATTTTACAAGGAGAAGAGTAAAGAAAGTATAATTAACCAATAGTCTATTGCAGTAATCCAGTTTGACAGAAGTAACAGGGTCAAATCCATAACATCTTTCAAAACAGTTACTAGGACTTAATCGCTATCATTTGCTTAGCATATAGCCAGGTACTGTTTAAAACATTTCTCTTGGATTATTTCCTTTGATCGTCACCACAACAGTATAAGCTCTGTGCTGTCACTATCCCCATTTCACCACTGGGAAAATTTAAGTCACGGAGAACACAAGTCACCTGTTAAAGGTCACAAAGCTAATGAGTAGCTAAGATCGGGTTTAAACCAAGGGAGCTTAGTTCCAAAGTCTGCAGTCTTAACCATCATGCCATGCCGCCTCTGCTTAGACAGAGAAGGTGGCAAGGGAAAACCCAGAGATGAATTTACAGTCATTGATCTGAGACTCAAAAACATGGCGTTCGGCAAAGATAAAATGACACGTGGAAAATTCTGGTTTAGAGCCTTGAACCCAAGCAAGTTATTAACAAACATTACAATGTTGGTTTCATTGCACCTTATTTGGGAAAAAGAATTGGTTTGAAAGAGTAGAAAGTATTTACTTTCTAAAAAATCAAATTATAACTTTATAAACAGATCACCATCCACGGAGCTAGGATGTGGCACAGGGGAGACAGGGACTTCAACTTTTCCATGGGTCCAGCAATATCTGGACAGGCTCCTCCTCCATAAGCATTTCCATTGACAACCTGGGTTTTACTCGCACCGTTTTCAACACTCACGCACCTGGAGCGGCTGCTTTTGAAACTTCTCTCTTCAGTTCCTCCTCATGCTCCAACTGAGAGATTACATGAGGTGTGGAAATTGGAAGCCCTATACATAGGGAAAGAAAAAGGAGTCTGGTAAAGACCTCAGTGTTCATTCCTTGGTCTTCAGGAACATGGTAAGAGAGGGAGAGAGTGAGGTCAGTTCTCCATTTCTTCCTCGACAGTGCTCACGAGGTAGGAAGATTGATAGGGGGTTGAGTCCCTTACCAATTTTACCTCCCCCTATTTAAAGAATAAGCATCCATTCTCTTAAGAGTTGTTTTCATTAGCACTTTGTCTCCACATCCTTGGTCAAGGAGTAGAGAAGAAGGATGCTACAGGTCTATAAAATAAAGGTGTTTATGTCTAATTCCAGGAGTGTTAAAACTATATCCAGAAACAAAAGGCAGAAATTGCCTGTCTCAGGCCCTACTAGAATTAAGAATCATTGAATATAAGGACCCTGGAGCTCCTAGGAACTGAGGAGACCAAGGTACCACACTGGCTAAAATCATGGGCACTGGGGGAGCCATCCTTACCCAGCAAGACCAGATTCCTGGGCTTCTCAGGCACATCTCCCTGAGGAGAGTTCAGCTGCCTCCACTGGGTGAGAGCCTCGGCCATATCCCTGATCATCAGTTCCTGAAAAACCAAACAGATTGGTGCTCACCAACGAGCCTCCTTATAGAGGCCTCTGAAGAGGGCTAAAGCTGACAGCACAGGAGGAGGAAGACAGGAAGGATAAAAAGAGGACAGACAACATGGCCTCGGCCACCCTTTCCAGTACTAACATTCTCTGGTGAATTTGTAGTCCACTGACTCACTCTTTGCCTCCAGGCAACAGAAATGCATATTACCTGCAAGTAGGAAGGAAAGCACCTTCAATGTAAAACTTGAAGGTATGAACTTCTTAGTTTATTTATTAATAAATTGCAGACCTACAGAATTTGCTACTACTTATATAGGAAAAGGGGGAGAAAAATGTAATGATGAATTAAATATTTTCCTTATGGTATAGTTTTTAAAATATATGGGGTTCAAGAAATTGAAGTATTGTTTTCTCTAGTTTTCCTAAGAATGAAATCAGTTCCATATATACCAAAAATTAAGATGTTTCCTACATGTCACAGAATATAGACTTATTTGTAAAACAGTATCTGAAGCCCAAAATATTACGAAAGTTCCCAGAGCGTTCTTGTCATTTTTCACAACGACCCTGATTAGTCTGCCCCTGACCCCCAGTTGGTGGCGTTCTTTCATTTGCTTGAAGTGTGTGTCCTGTTCCCTTTGGCCCCTTTACACACCCTGCTTCCTATTCCTGAATATTCCGCCCCCTGCCCCATCCTTTCAGCAATGTGAATCCTTCTCTCCCTTCAGATCTCAGCTCAGGTGTTACTCAGGGGAAGCCTTCCCTGACCCTCCTGTGAGAACACATGTTCCTTCCCTTCCCTTGGGTTGTACACATAGAGGAGACCTTGTGACTAACATCAGCTCCACAGGAGCAGAGGCCAGGTCTGTTTTTGTTTACTGAAGCAGCCCTAGTACTTGGCACAGAGTAGAAACTCTGTAAATATTCGTTGAATATTTGAATGAAGAAAGGAAGGAAGGAACAAGAAGTAATAGAAACAAGTTTAAATGGGGTGTTCTATAAAAGTGTGCATGGGCACAGAAGTGGGGAGGAGAACAGAAGCATATTAAACATAGAAAACAGACCGGGCGCGGTGGCTCAAGCCTGTAATCCCAGCACTTTGGGAGGCCGAGACGGGTGGATCACAAGGTCAGGAGATCGAGACCATCCTGGCTAATGCGGTGAAACCCCGTCTCTACTTAAAAAAATACAAAAAACTAGCCGGGCGAGGTGGTGGGCGCCTGTAGTCCCAGCTACTCGGGAGGCTGAGGCAGGAGAATGGCGCAAACCCATGAGGCGGAGCTTGCAGTGAGCTGAGATCCGGCCACTGCACTCCAGCCTGGGCGACAGAGCGAGACTCCGTCTCAAAAAAAAAAAAAAATAAAAAAATAAATAAATAAATAAATAAATAAACATAGAAAACAGTGCAGGAGTATTTAGCCTAACCTTCTTCTAGATGACAGGCACAAAGTTTAGTTTGTTTACTAAAATATTGAAATAAGGGAGTAGAGCAGGTAACGCTCTTTTGAATCTGTTACTGCTGCTAAGATAAATGTCTAATAATTTTTCAAATTCTATTTTTTAAATTTCTGTGCAACTACAGTTTAACTTAAGAGTAAAATAAACCAGTCCTTGGGTTAGCAAATGAATCAGTTTTACATCTCTTTAAATTACCACTTGGGCCACAGCCTCTTGAATGAATATATATATATATATATCAAACGGTAAATTTTGTTTGTATTCAGCTTTCTAATGTATATTTCATAGTCTTTCAAAAATTATTAGTAAAACAATGCACCTAATGACATAAAGCTAAAAGAACCACCTACTCTGAAAATCCTCTGCCCAAAATACACTCTTAAACACTTTAAGTAAGAAATCCCACACATAAGGTCATACGCCTCAGGAGTAATCAGCACAAGTAATATAACGTGCACTATCTTTGTTCTGTACAAACAATGCTAACACCAACAGACTAACAGGCAGGCCCTCAGACTTCAGTTCCCTAAGAAAACCTCAGCAATCTACTCACTTAAGTGCCTGTGCCAGGGTCGGAAGGCACAGGCAGGCCAATCAGACACTGTCAGCAGGCGCTACTGACTTTCTCTCCCCTCCTCTCTCTGAACGCCATCTACAAATTCACAGATCAAAATCAATACTGGCATTTTCTCCTATGGTTTTATAAGGATCATCAGTACCTGTATGCTTAGGCCTGGTGTGAGGGAAACAAAGAGTCCCAGCACCTGAACCAAAGGGTCTGCCAATCTCCCACTGTCTTGGCCAGATCTTACAGAAGCATCTTTACGAATCTTCTCTCTCCAATCAGCTACGGCATTTTTCGTCCTGCTGGGCCTCTAAAAACCTTCATGGGGCCGTCATTTACCTCTGGAATAAGACTGAGTGTAGATTGTCCTGGGGTCTGGGTACAACACAGCCAAGCTTCCCTCACCACAGTCTAGGTCTCCCCACAGCGACTCACACATCCACACATCCTTGAAAGACCTCCAGCTCCCTCATCATTTGAAGACTTTTTTTTTCTTTTTTTGGCCAAAGCTGTTCTCTCTTGGAATATTCCCTTATTCTACCCTCCGACTACCCAATCTCTCTTGTTTTTCAAAGTGCAGTTTTTATCCTACACTTCTCCCAAACAGATGATTAAAAGAAAATCTCTTTCAGAGACTTTTATGACTTGTCTGGACCAATCATTTCTACGTTTAAAAAATATCTATTTCCTCATGTTTATTTTATCTATATATCTCTCACTGCCTTAGTAAACTCCACGACGCAGGAGCAAGTGGCTTTTACTTCTTTGCACCTCACCAAGGCCAATTACAGTACTGAGTGTGTGTGCAGCAAACATTCAGTGGGTAGGGAGAAAGCAACGCTGGGAAGAGAGTCCTGCACAACCGAAGACCACTTCCTGTGGGGTTCCTCAGTCATCAGTTTATCAGGATGAACCCAGTGGTCTAGGAATCAGGGCTGAGCAATTCCGTAACAATGGAAGGAAACATATCCTTGCTCTGAGAACAGAAGGAAAAAAAAAGAAGAAATCTAAACTTACTTGGGACCCAGGGGTCAGCAGCACAGCAGTCACGTCATTTTCTTTTGGGTTTCCAGCATGGAGAAGGTCTGAGTCCTCAAAAAGTGATCCTAAAAGTGGAGACAGGAGCCATGACGATTACTCTTTCCTTGCGATAAACTAGCCGGAAGTGCCACACACCAGCTAGTTGTCATCTAAGAAGAGTCAACACTGGGAACCAAAGGACAATCGCATAATATCCTTTAATCAAGACAGCCTTGACCATTGCTGCCTCAGGCTCCTCCTGTTCTCCTCTGCCCTTAAACTCCAGTAGACTGAGCATCTAGACATATAAATTAAACATATTTTTATCTTGCATGTGCTAAGTAGTCAAAATAATACTCCAAGTCTTTGTATGTCCATGCCTCAGTGATTCACCTCTGTTGTATTTCAGGCTCCCAGGATGAACGAAGACGAGTTAAATTCTTTTTGAACATTGGCTTTTCAGATATTGATACAATACCGACTGACTCAGAAAAGCGAAGGGTCTTACGGAAGAACCACCACCATCAGCAAAAACAAACCAAGATTGTAAACAAACTCCGTGACTTCTCAAATCCCCGCCTTCCCTTCCTTCCAAAAGGGTCAGATAGTCCCTTCCTACTGCCTGATGGGGTTCCTCTAACATCAAAAAAGAAGTCATTATCAAAAGCCAAACTTCAGAGGTGTTGGTATCTTCCCTTGGGCAAGGGAGGCGTCCAGCGCCTACAGACCAGGAGGGCAATGGAAGGGGCGGGCTGTCCCTCAAAACCCCACGTGAGACCGGCCAGCGGGAAGGGGCTCGTGACGCTACTCCTTCCTGAGCCTGCCCCACACTTTCTCCCTTTCTCCCTCTCCGGCGGGCACCAAGGCCGCCTCACTCCCAAATCCTCACCTCTGCCCCCAGGTTCCATGGAGACTCCTTCCTCCAGCCCGCGCTGGAGGCAACCGCCGCGGGGGAAGGGGCCGGGGGTCCGCCGCTCGCGTTCC